ATAACGTGCTTTGCATGTTGAAATTCGTTATACTTAATATTTTTTTATTTTTTTCTAAATATAGTTTATTAATTTTTTACAATATAATAAAAATGATAGTAAATTGTTGAATAAAAAAATAAATATATTAATTAGGTGTTTTATATTCAATATTTTATTGTAAATATTATACTATGTATGTAGACAAAATGAATGAATATTGTAAAAAAATCAAAATGGAATGAAAATCATAAAACTTTATTATTGAAATGATATGAAAAGTAAATATAATTATAACTCAAATGAATGAATATTGTAAAAAAATCAAAATGGAATGAAAATCATAAAACTTTATTATTGAAATGATATGAAAAGTAAATATAATTATAACTCAAGTAAAATAATATCTTTAAGATTAAGAAATGAATGAATATTGTAAAAAAATCAAAATGGAATGAAAATCATAAAACTTTATTATTGAAATGATATGAAAAGTAAATATAATTATAACTCAAGTAAAATAATATCTTTAAGATTAAGAAGTAAAATGATAATAAGAAAAGTTTTTGACATAAAAGAATAATTAACTTTATAGCCAAAGAAAAATAAAATTGTTATGGTGATTTTTTCTATAAGTATTAAACATTTATATTGGTATGCTATAATAAATTGATATTTTAATAAGCTATAATAAATTGATATTTTAATAAGATTCCTAATTTAGTTATATTATAGTTCATAAATTAGTCATAATTAAGATATTACTCATACATCTTATATTCAACTATCAGAAATACAATAATAAATTTAAATAATACGTATCAATTTTTTAATTCTTTTAATTGAATTATTTTTATTATTTTTTATAATTGTATATTATAAGAATTAGCTAACATAGCTAAGTTCATTGTAGATATCAATTTATCATTTATTATTTAATCATTTTATTATTATTTTAGTAGTTTTATTTGAATTATTTTTAAACTTTTAGTAATTTAAATTTATATAAAATAAATTTATATAATTTTCTATCAATTGAGTTAAAATATTTTGACATGTACTTTATGTTTCTTAACTGGATCTTTAACTTCATTTGATAACTAGGCGAAGGCCACGCACTGCGTCGATTGTTTTGTTGCCATACATTATACTTCATAGTTTATAATAATTTATAATTTATAATTTTTTTTTGATGCATTTATATTATTTCATAATCTACATAACTTTTTTGAATTAATGTTTTGAATTACAAAAATTTGAATTTAATTCCCCATTTAAAAAGTTTATTAACTTTAAACATTAAAATATCAATAAAGTAAAGAAGTAGTTATTTGAATTTAAATGATAATTCTAAGAACTAAATGTATAAATGTTATATTTTATTGGTCAGTTTTATATTATTTTTATCATGTAAATTTATATTAGGATTTAACTACCCTATTAGGTATTGATATGGATAATATATCATCTAACGGAAAAATTTTAAATTTTATTCTACACTAAACGAAAATCGTGTCTAAAAAATAAAATATACAATTCAATAATAATTCTATCAATTGTAGAAATAAATATCATGAGAGAAAAAATAAAAAATTGAGAATAGTGTCTAAAAAATAAAATATACAACAATAAAATATATAATTCAACAATAATTCTACCAATTGTAGAAATAAATATTATAAGAGATAAAAAGATAAAAATGTAATGGTTGTTGATCAATATGGAGTCCTTTCTTCTATGAAATCTTGGTACAATGCTTTTTAGAATACCAGTTGAATTAAACATTGACTCAAAAGCCAAAATTTCCTTGTGAAACTCTTTACAGATTTAGTTGATTCATCAATGGATTAAAGGAGCAAGAAAGAAGTAAAAGAGCACCTAAATACAAAAAGAAACAATAAAGAAGTAAAAGAGTGCGAGCACCTAAATACAGAGAATTAAACATACATAGTCTATAAATTTTCAATAAAATGTCACTTCTCTTATAGGAGAAACAAAAATGAAAAGGGGAATAGTTGATTGATAATAAGGATAAGATTAGATTTTAAAATTGAATTTAACTTAGATTTCAAAATTGAGTTAACTTAGATTTTATTTGCTTATTAAATATTATGTTAGGTTAAATTTGTAAAAGAAAAAAGAAAATATTCAAAAAGTTATTAAAAAATCAAATAATTTATAAAAAAAGATAAAAAGGAAAGCTCAAAGGATAGAATGCCAAGTCAGCTTTGTAGATTTTTTTTTTTTTTTTTTTTTTTTTTTTTTTTTTGCTTCGCAAGATTATATATATACTAGACGACATGCGTGCTTTGCAAGTTTGTATAAAATTATATTTGTCATTTCAAATGTAAAGATATATATGTTGAGTAAATTATAAAATTCCATTTTTGGGGAAAAGTGACTAAAATTTTAATTAGATAAAAGTCTGTAGGTATTTAAAATAATATAAATACTTAATTTTTTTATTTTTGTAGAGAATTTATCTAATTGGAAGTATATAATGTGACTAAAATTATTATTAGATATAAAGTCCTGTAGGTATTTAAAATAATATAAATACTTAATTTTTATTTTTGTAGAGATTTATCTAATTGGAAGTATATAATTAAAAACCTATTTGAACATAATAGTTAATTTATCAATGTATAAAACATATTTAAATCTTTTGAAATTGCATACACTTAAATCCCTGTAAAAATAAAACAAAATAAAAATAAGCTAAACAAAATATAGAATGAGAAAACAAAACTAAGTAAACAATTCAAACAAAGCAATGAAATACTATAATGTTTTTCTTTCAACAAGCAATAAACTGAAGAAGTTAAAATAAAAAATTAAATTAAACTTTCAACAATATAAAGAAATTTAAAAATTTTAAAAAATAAAAATAAAATAATGAACAAAGAGAGAATCTTGAACTTTCTTTTTATATGATGATATATAAATATAGATCTTTATTAGTTAAAAAACTCTAATTATACATTAAAATGTTTAATATAAAATTTAATATCAAAAGCAACCAATAAAATAAAATATAGATCCTTATTAGTTGAAAACTCTAACTATTCATTAAAATATTTAATATCAATAATGCAAATTTATCTTTAAAATATTTCTTAACGCATTAAGAATAAATTATTCAAACTTAATAATAATAATAATAATTTTATGTAATAATAAGTTTACTTCAAAGTTAAGAATAAATTATTCAATGATTATAACAGTGAAATCCAATTGAAAAATGAAAAATGATCTACCAAATAACCTCTTTCTCCAAGTTCAAAGTTGGAGGGACTAATTCATATTAAGTTGAGAACTATTTCCAAATAATTAAATTTGAGATCAAAGACAACTTCATGGCACAATACTTGTTCATTGGCTTCTCTTTATTACATTATATATTCTTATGATGTACTGTCATATTTTTCTTGCTGCAGATTTTTTTTGTCCTTTATTTTTTTTTTAATGGAAGGATGTTATATGAATTGCATTTGCTAGGATGTAGGAGACAAAATAAAACCCAAATGGCATGAACTCTAAAGCCCAATTTCTGATACTGATTGGGTTGATTTGATTGGAATTGAAATGTAAATGAAAAATGAAAGTTTTTTAACTTTAAAAAAATTATTTAGAAAAACAAATATCATATTTCAAATACAACTATAAAGAACCAGTTTCCAATTTTCAATACACCCTATTAGACACATTATTCAAGTGAAATGGAGGCCATCCCTCTTTAAATTATTAAGGAGTTACAACTAATGCTAGATTAACACTCAAATATTTGATGGGTCATTTAAACATCTAATCTGAAATATGAAATTAACAACATTAACTTTGGTTTTGAAATATGAAATTAAAATTAACAAATATGAAATTAAAGATAATTTAAATTATAAATTTTTTCGTAATTAAATTATATATTTTAAAATATTATCACAATATCTCTACGATTATCGATAAAAGTATTTATTGTGCATAACATAGATATGCTGCTAGTATATATATATATATATATATAAAGCAAGCGTGTTTTTCATATATAATGATAAATATGATTGCTAGAGTTAGATTGTGCTAAACAGTGTTGTTAAGGTTAGATAGTGCATATACCTCTTTTAATTTTATATTAATTGTAACTTAATTTACATAAATAATTACAAAAATCAATCAATATTTAATAATTAATCATCATCATCAATATATTTATCATTCAAAAAATCATTAATAATGAATATGCGATTCAATAAATGGTTAAATATTCTCATTCCAATTCAAGGCATTTGAAATTAATTTAAATAAATATTTGTGTTTTTATAATATCTATCTATCTATTTGGTGCTTTTCACAATGAAAGTTTTATAATTCATTTTATTTTTATTTTAAATATAATTCTTAAATTAAAATTCACTAAGTAGCTATAAATAAACTTAATTGTAATGTGAATAATATATAAAATGTTTTAAATATAGTTTTGAATATAGCTGAAACATTTGTGCTATAACTTTGATTAGTTGAACTTAATCATATTTTGAATAATATATAAAAAAGTTTAAATATATTTTTAATGTAAAAAAGAAAAGTAAAAAAATACTAAACTAGCAAAGCAATAAATAAAATTCAAAAATTATGGAATATATTATAATAACAAGAAATTACTAATAATACTATATTTAAGAACATTTAAAATTTTAATAAAAAGTTATATATTATAATGGTGCATAATATGAATATACCGTTATTTTAAATAAAATGAGACAACATATAATAAAATAATATAAAATTTTTAATTTTTTTATTTATTGAGTGGCCGGAAAGACTGAATTAACAATGCAATGCAAGCCGTATAATAGAAGAACTCGAGAACTATTATTTCTCGTATTAGTAAAAAAACTAACTAGACCAATTAACAAATTTTAATATTTTTTTATTTTGATATGAAACTTTAAATAATTTTTATAATTCATATTAAACATATAAAATACAAATCTATAAATTATTAAATTTTTTTCGTAAATTAAGCTCCTAGTTTATTTCTATTTTGGAGTGGATTTGTGACGGTCACCGGCTACGGCTTCCTTCTCTGGTTTTCAAAAATCTCTGCAACATTGCTACACTATTTCATGTTCCTATAGAGTCAATTTCAAATCTGTCAGAAACATATTTTCAAGTCTTTTTTTTTTAATTATTCTTTAATTATTATTATTATTATTGTTGTTGTTGTTGTTGTTGTTCGACTTCGAGATTTTTCTCTTCTGATTTCCTCTTCCTTTTCAGTTGGCTGCCCAAATTGCTGGTTTCAGTTAGGTAAGTCATTGTTCGGCGTTTTATAAATTGAGTTTTGATTGAGAATTTTATCATTGGAGAGTACTTGGTACTTGGATTGGTTATCAATCTGTGTTTGGTTGCTGAGAAAATGTGGGAAAATTTATGATGGAAAATAGTAGTTTAATTTGAGCTCGAGATTGCAATTTGAGTTCTTTGTTTTGGTATTTTAATTTTGGAAATCTAATCGGTGTTCCTCTAATTTCTCCTTTCAATAATTTTATTTTTTATTTTATTTTCTGATGATCAATTTTTCTCTATTTTCTCCCTCATTTGTAGGAACTGGAAACATTTATAGGGTTTTGTTTTGGATCCCATGGATACTTCAATTGCTGAAGTCTGTTTCACAACTTAATTTTACTTCCTCTTAAATTTTTGATAAGGCCAGGCCTGCATAGGAAGAATTTGGTTTTTGTTGTGCTGGTGGAAAAACCATGGTAGGGAATTCATTAGCTCAGGTTTCAAAATGCTCTGCTACCATGTTATCATCATCGTTGATTGTTGTACCCAATGGTTCTTCGAGCTTCTTGCCCTATCTTCCATCACGACAGAAAAAACAAGTCAGGCTGGTCAGAGCTATGTCAGCGGACGCAGGACCTAGCCAAGCATCCTCATCTTCATCAGAGAAAAAGAATCCACTTGCAGTTGTTTTGGAGGTTCCTCAAAATGTTTGGAGGCAAACATTAAAGCCATTGAGTGATTTTGGCTTTGGAAGGAGGAGCATTTGGGAAGGTGGAGTTGGGCTGTTTCTTGTGTCAGGTGCTGTACTTTTTGCACTTAGTTTGGCTTGGTTGAGGGGGTTTCAATTACGTTCGAAATTCAGGAAGTATTTGGCTGTATTTGAGTTTGCTCAAGCCGGTGGTATTTGCACGGGAACCCCAGTTAGGATTAGAGGGGTGACTGTTGGCAATGTCATCAAAGTTAATCCTTCCTTAAGATGTATTGAAGCAGTTGTTGAGGTATGCCAATTGAATTTTAATTTTGTATGCTACGCCCTGACATAAAAATTGTACTGATTTCCTACTTCATATTTTCTAGGTTGAAGATGATAAAATAATCATACCCAGAAATTCGCTAATCGAGTTGAACCAGTCAGGTCTTCTTATGGAAACAATCATTGATATTACACCTAAAGATCCAATTCCATCACCATCTGTTGGACCTCTTGATGCTGAATGCATTAAGGAAGGTCTAATTGTATGCGACAGGCAAAAGATAAAGGGACGTCAAGGAGTGAGTTTAGATGAATTGGTTGGAATATTTACCCGTCTAGGACGTGAAATGGAGGAAATTGGTGTTTCGAAGGGTTATACACTGGCTGAACGTGTTGCTGCTGTAATTGAAGATGCAAAACCACTGCTTACAAAGGTGCGAACTGGCCTTCTTCTAGTTTGTTTTTGCATTTAGTTGATAATATCTCATTTTAGCTGCATTGTTGAGGTAATCAACATGAATCTTGCAAAAATTAAGATTATTTATAAGACAGGGTTTTATTGGTAATAACAAATTAACAATCACCTGCTGTTTTGAAGAATTTTTTTCCATTCAGTTTGGTTGAGGTGTTGGGAAAAATATGTTCTTGGGGGCGCAATTGAATAATTTTGTGGGGCACAATTGAATAATTTTGTCAAGGCACATTCAGTTGGAATCTGAAAGTGCAGACTATGAATAAAATGCTACTTCACTTGAATGACTGAGGTTTAAACATTGTATTAGCAAAACCTCAAGAAATTATACTTAAGATATGCAGAAACCTATTTGTCAGTTTCAAGTTCCACTATTTTAAAATTGATCAACGGCATAGGAAAAAACAAATGTTATGTTCAATCAAATTTATACTCATCTATTGTGAACACATTAATGGATATCTCATGCAAACTTTGGTTCTGATGTAGTGATATCTCAGATCGAGGAAATGGCTGAAGATATTCAACCTTTGCTAGCTGAGGTTCGTGATGGTGGTCTTCTTAAGGAAGTTGAAACTTTGACTAGAAGCCTAACGCAAGCCTCTGAAGATTTAAGGTGAATTATACTATTTCTTTCTATAACTAGCTGGAATTTTGAGCACACTTCCAACTAATAATAAAAGAAAACACTTGACAAAAAACATGTACAAACTACCTTCATGACCATGGAAAACATCTCCAAGATTGGGGCCGTGATCAAACTGAGATGAAAGCATTGAGTAGCTATGTTAAAGCCTTGAGTGGGTGAAGCAATGGTATAATAACTACAAGACTAACAACTAGGTCAAGCATGCACTTTAATAAACAATTTGATGCCAGATGCTTAGAGGTCTGGAAAGGCCAGTCACAAGTCAACGAATGAATTAGACTTAAAAGCAACCTTTAGTATAGTCATTTGTGGGTGTCATCCAACTTTCTAGCCTCACATTTACACTGGCCTGGAGAATTCTTATTCTATTGTGCATATAAAGGAGACAATCTGCCAGCCCATACATCATGCCAAAAAAAAAAAAAAAAAAAAAAAAAAAAAAAAACATTTACATGGCCTGGAGAATTCTTATTCTATTGTTGCATATAAAGGAGAACAATCTGCCAGCCATACATCATGGCCAAAAAAAAAAAAAAAAAAAAAAAAAAAAAACCCATAAGAATACCAGTTTGTAAAAAAAAAAAAAAAAAAAAAAAAAAAAAAAAAACCCATAAGAATACCAGTTTGTTTCTTTTGTGGGTTTGTAACTCAAAATAGAATGTAAGAGATTTCTTTTGGTTCAAAAACCCAATGGGTATATTTTGACGAGCTTTTCTGGGAGAGAACATTTTCATTCCTCACCTTTGTTGCAAATTGCATTCTCTCTGTAACTCATTGAAAAATACTGTAATATCTCTCTTCTTTCATTGCCATTGACGAGGTCCCCACTTTTTATTACAATTATGCGTGCTTCTTGCATCATCAATATTATTTCACTTTCTTCCACTGTAACATTGTATAACCAGGTTCTGCCTTCCTCTTCCTACGCATTTTGCTTGATCCAACCACTTGTTATATATTATATATATATTTTTTGGGAAAGAATGATGTATATAACTAACAAAAAGAAAATGGACAAATTCGATCTGTATATGAACACTATGTCACCACGTCAAAGATATTACTTCAGTATCAAGAGCCAATAAAATGTAGGAAAATTCAGCGGGACTCAAGTTCCTGACTTTTGGCACCTCCCCTTTTGGGTTGAGGACTTGTAGCATCAGCAAAATAAAGTTTCTTTCTCTGAATAAATATCTCTGTTGCACCAAAGTCTACCGATAAATGAACCTGCATCATCCAGTAGCACAACCATGCATGCAGGTAGTCTGTGTTAAGATTCTTGACCTGTGACATGATATTTTTTCCATCAAGGCAAATCTAAGGTTTAGAAAGGTCTTTTTAGAGTGGCAATGTGAAGCCATCTTGATGTCCAATGTTCTGGTGTGTCAGTTTTTCACTCATATGTATTGTCAAAGATCCTTCCGCCAGTTATATGTACTTCCTACAATATAAATGCCCGAGCCAAGCTTCACATTAAACAAATGTTGGACACTGGACCTGTATGCTTCAACATGTTAATTGTTTTTGTAGAAAGCCTTAAGAGTACAAACACGTAATGGTATTGAGAGGCGTGATGGGTTTTTGAGTGATTAGAAATGATTTTGTTGATAATTTAACATCTGCATATTGACGTTCAAATTTGACATTTGTTTAAAGCAAAATGATAATTCTGGGGACTGTGCATTGAAAGAAACAATTAGGATGGTCTTCTTGAAAACATGGAGGGAATAAGCCATTTGCTGACTCATAAAATCTCAATGGTTGACTCTTTCTTTTCTGCAGAAGGGCACATGCATCTATTATGACCCCCGAGAACACTGAGTTGATTCAAAAGTCCATTTACAGTCTGATATTTACTTTGAAAAACATTGAGGTGATATCCTGATTGAAATTTTCCTATAGTTTTTGCTATGATGTAATCTTGGATATTTTTATTTGTTAAGTTTTTTCTGATTTTTTTTTTTCTTCTTCAACCATATTAGAATATAAGCTCTGATATTCTGGGATTTACGGGTGATGAAGTTACAAGACGGAACTTGAAAGCACTTATCAAGTCTCTAAGTAGGATGTTATGAAGACAAGTAAAAAGTGAGAATAGCAATGGTAACTCTCAAAGTTGATCAGGTGCCTGAAATGGTTTCCTTCATTATGCTTGACACATGACAGAGCCATAGTGAATCTTACAGGTCATCTCCCTTCTGGTTGCATTTGTGAAGAAGGCTTCAACTTAGAGGTACTTATTGCATTCTTTTTAATAAAGTTATGTGAGATGTTTCTCTTAACCCAGTCAGAATTGAATGGAGGAAGCTTTTTAATGGAAGCTTTTTTGTTATAGAAAACTTGTGATTACCATTTTGAATACTTGGAAAAGCTTTCATTTTCTCCTGGGATTTTGTTTCCCAGCTAAAAGAAAGTTCCATTCTGGAGAAGATAGAATGCCATTACTGCTTGATGAATTTTTTTTTTATCTGCATGGTCTTTTTTTTTTTTTCACCGTCCTTGAAAGGCTGACAAATGAAATCATGAATTTATTTTTCTTTTTAAATTGCTAACTTGGAACTATATTCCTATTTATTTGTGGTTTGAATTGTCTTCTAAAAAGACAAAAGACAGAGTCCTGATTCATTCTTATCCGAATCTTGTTGATTTAGTGTCTGAGATTCCTAGTCGTTTGATTTGTTGTGAATATATTTGGTTGGTGGAACATACTTTGAATACTGTTTTGAGTTGTGGCATATTCAAATCATGTTTTACTTCTGTCATAAAGTTGTGGGAGTCCACTAAAATTGAATACTGTGTGCACACTACCTATTATTTGACCACCTTTTATGTATTCCTTTCAAAAGTTAATTCATAATTTTCAATATGAAATAATTAAAATTTGAAGGTAAGGTTTGCATTTCTTTTTCTTTACCTCTAAAAAATAAAACAGGTATTTTCTTCCAAACAAATGTAGAGGTGCGCTCTCCTTGTACTCTCTCTTCCCTTTTATTATTTTTTACAGTGTTAATCTTGACGAGGCTATTGGTTATTAGAATTTAATATTCTTATAAAGATAGATTTCGAAAGAAGTAATAAGAATGCTAGTTTCTTTTTATTGTTTGTTTATAATTTTCTTTTTTGCACGTACAATAGTTTAATTTAATGAATTTATGAAAAAAAAATATATGATATAATATCTTTATTTTATCCATATTTTTTCTACGTGATATTCTAAAATTGTACCTTATAAAATATAGGTATTAATTCAATAAAAATTAGTATAACGAATTAATATAAAATACAAATATTACTAAAAAAGTAAATGAAATATGAAAGTAAAAAGCCAAAAAAATTTTATTTAATATTAATCAACATTATATTTTTACAATTATAAATGTTTTTAATTTTGAAAAATTATGATTTTATCCTTATAAAATATCGAAATTAATTTGCATATCTTTTATATTTTGGAAAATACATTTGTGTATCTCTAAATTTTACTTTCATCAAATCATCCTATCCTTTCGTTCATATTTTCTACTTTTTTGTTAAATTCTTAAAGAAAACATAAAAATACCCTTCACTGGAAATAGGATGCTTTTGTTCTTCTTGTTGGCTCTTACACTGTGTTTGGAATAAATGAATCATTAATATAGAATTTATTTATAAATAAATTATAAATAGAATTTATTTATAAATGAATTTCTCGTATTTAATATGTCATAAAATAAAGATTTTAATTGAATGCTATAAAATTATGTTTGGAATAAATTTTTAAATGAAAATTCATTTGTCTTTAATTCTTATAATGCCATTGACATAATAATTAATAAAAATAAATAGCAAACGCCAATTTATTATATACAATAAAATAACTTGTTGTTTTTTATTAGTTAATTAATTATATAAGTATTAACACTCATCATAATAATTATTTTAATTGTTAAAAGCCTTATTGATTTAAGTAATTAATTTGGAAACTACAAAATATTTAAACAGGTTATTACTATTTTCAATTGCATTTGAAAACAACCGTTGATAGTCAACTTTTATAGTGTCATAGTACTTTCTCCGTTTCAAAAAGATAGTCCATAGTTCATTTTCATCTTTTACATTATAGCTGATCCTTAAATTGTCTACTATATTTTTATTAAATTTTACTTTATTTTCAATAACCCTTATTAATTTTTAATTATTATTCCAATATAATAATTACTCATGTGTTATTTAAGATGCAATAATAGGAAAATTATATGAATAAAATTGTCTTTTAACCGTATTTCTTAATCTGTATGAAAATAAAAAGTAGACTATCTTTTTAGGACGGAGGGAATAATATTATTATAAGATTTTTTTAAAAAATAACATTATTAATAGTTTGCAATTTAAAAAAAAGGAAAAAAAGTAAATTATTATTACCAGATTTCCAAAAAAAATTGGAAAAAAAATAACGGTATTAGGAATTTCCAAAAAGAAAAATATAAAGTTAGTTATTACCAGATTTTGAAAAAAATTAGTAGGGATTTTCAAAAAAAAAAAAAAAAAAAAAAAATTGGGAAAAAAAAATTAACGGTATTAGGAATTTCAAAAAGAAAATATAAAGTTGTTTATTACCAGATTTTTGAAAAAAAATTAGTAGGGAATTTTCAAAAAAAAAAAAAAAAAAAATGTAAAAGGAAAAAGTAAAAAATAAATACAAGTTCAAAAAAAAAAAAAAAAAAAAATGTAAAAGGAAAAAGTAAAAATATAAAGTTAGTTATTACTAGATTTCAAAAAAAAAAAAATGTTAGTAGGAATTTAAAAAAAAAACAAAAAGGAAAAAAAATAAAAAATATAAAGTTAGTTATTATCAGATCTAAAAAAAAAAAAAACGTGAGTAGGAATTTAAAAAAAATAAATAAAAAGGGAAAAAAAAGAATAAAAACAATTGAGTTTACAGTTTAGGGTAATTTTGTCAATGAAGAGAATTCATTTAGAAATTTCATTAATTTTAGTAGAATTTAACTAATGTACACCAAATTCCATAGAATTTCACTCGTAAAATTCAAATCTGTAATTTCTTTTTTATTTCAAACAGAAAATTCTAGATTACCAAATGAATTTTATAAAATTTTGTAAAATTTATTTGTTCCTTAAGGACTATCATAGTCCAAGATGCTCACTTGGTCACGTCTCAACAACAACCCACAAACATGTTTATTATCGCCGGAGAAAGTAAAATGGTCGATCGAGGTGTGGTCAAGAAACAAAAATCCACAAGGCCATCTATATAAAAGATGAATAGATTGCAGAGGCTAGTCCAACAGCATGTTGTTCTGCTATCCCAATATCAAAGAAGCAGACAAGGGCTTCTCTTACAAAGCAAAAAGCAGTTCACAAAAGCCATTTGGCAAGGCGCAAAGCAAATCGCGGAGGCAAGAAAGAAGGCAAACAAAAGTTCCCCATATAATAGATATAGGACATGGGAAACCAAAAGACCAGACCCCAAAAAAGCCCAATTTTTTTAGCAAGAAGGAAAAGAGAGACCTTCCTGTCTCTGAAAGCAGGTTCTTGAATCAAATCTATTTACTATTGTGGAATTGATTTAGCCTTGGGCTAACAAAATAATTTCCTGATTTATTATTATCTTTTTTAGAAAGGTCAATCAAGAGGAGAGATACTAGATAGCTATCAGATAAAGAAATTCTCATTTAATATTCAATTCACACTCTCACCGTGCTATAAATCTATACACGGAAGTAGGGGTGTCCATTTCACGGTTTTTGGAACCGGAACCGCCGATTCAGAATTGGTGGACACCGAAATCGGAATCGGTTCGGACCGAAACAGGAATCGGGGGTTTGTGGTCCGGTTTCGATTCTAACTTTTGAGGAACCATGAATTAGCGGTTCCAAAAACCGGCCGGAACCAGCTAGAACCGGCGGGTTTTCCAACCGGTTAGAACTCGCGGTTACACCCGGTTCCAATAACATTTTTTATCTTTTTAAATATTTTTGTGAAATTTCAAATTAACCCTCCTCATAACTACATAGCGGCTTATTTGTAGAAAATTAATTTTTTGGATTTAAATATTCCTTTTTATTTTAAAAAAAATTAAGTTGAAACCTTTTTCTAAAAAAAATAAATTAATTTCAAGCCCTTTTTCTAAAAAAAGAAAAAATAAATTCAAGCCTTTTTTTAAAACAAATAAATTAAGTTAAGCCTTTTTTTAATTTTTTCTTTAAGTTTTTTCTAAAAATTATTTCATAAATATTTAAATTTTTTTTAATTTTTTTCTTTAAGTTTTTTTTCTAAAAATTATTTCATAATATTTAAATTTCAAAATTTTCAACAAAAAAATGTCGCCTAATTCAAGCCTTTTTTTAAAACAAATAAATTAAGTTAAGCCTTTTTTTAATTTTTTCTTTAAGTTTTTTCTAAAAATTATTTCATAAATATTTAAATTTCAAATTTTCAACAAAAAAATGTCCCTAATTTTTTATTTTATGATTATGTGATTTGCTGGAAAATAAATCGGAGAACTAGCTGGAATTATCGATTTGGAACCGTTAAGGAACTGGAACCGTTCGATTTCAAACTGTAACCGGAACCGTCAATTTTCGATTTTTCAGACTTTTTGAAAGCGAAACCATCAATTCCAAAACTGAAACCAACGATTTTGAGACCGTAGGGATTAGTCATCCCTACGCTAAAGCGTACCCTCGAGCCTTGTGCAGGTTGGCCACCTGCGAGTGCGATAAAAAGGAGAGAGGTTACATCTTTCTCCTCCGAGCAGTCCTTTTGCATTGACTTAATGTGGGAAAGTGGAAAAATTAAATGGAGGGATAGACAGTGTAACAGAAGCAAAGTTTAGACATATATTAATAATTTTTCGAAATATAAGGATATACGAGTTAATTTTGATATTTTATTGAGATAAAATCTTAATTTTCACTTTAATAATGTTTTAATCATATACTTTTCTATATGGGAAAGTACGAGTTATATTCATAATTTTGGTGACTCAGCTTTTATAGCATTGTAAGTTTGTCGCTTGTAACATTTGTGTCGATCAAAATTCTACTTTTCCGGCTCGTTTTTCTACGTTCTTCAATAGTTATGGTGAAACAACAAATGTCGCGAATAATTATTATCAAGTGGAATTTTTTAACACTTTATTATCAAATGAACTGTCTCTGCACAAGCTTAAACTGAAAGTAAACTGTCTAATAATACTATTTAGGTACATGGGTGCTTCAAACGGCGTATACAATGGGACCAAAGTGATTTTCATATTTTTGCCGTTCAATGAACTATCAAACAATGGTTTAATAGTAAATACGAGAGACTAAATAATACTATTGTATTAAATATATAAAGTACTAAAATATCAAATATTAGAAGGTATTTAACTTATAAAATAGTATATTTGGACAAAATATCTAAATAATATAATAATAAAACTGAACTTTAATAACTAATAAATGCATTTACTAAAAAAAAAACAGAGTTTATAATTATGATTAAATTTAAGAAACTAATATAGTTATTTACCAATTTTACCTTTATCCTATTATAAAGCTCAAACTAAAATTAGGCTTCTTACTTTATGAAACAATATAAATATATCTACCCGTTTTATACATTTATGAAATTCACTTAAAAAAAATTTATTAAATTAAACT